TAGGAGAATTCAGCACAGCACCACACACAGATGGACCATAGCTCTTCTTAGCGCTGTCCTAGCAAGAACTCAGCTCTGCCCTGTGCACACAGGAGGTGCTCACAGGGACTTGCCTCTGTTTCTCAGGTGTGATCTCCTGTAGCATCCTGGGTATTGTTCCACTGTGGTCAGGCATCCTCCCTTCGTGTCATCTTGGGTGACCTTGATCGCCTCAGACTGTGGGCACCATATCGTCTGTGTTCCCCACCGAGACCATGAGGGCAGGGGCTCTGTCTTTTATCTCCACACCTGCAGGGCCTGGCGCACAGTAACTCAAACGTGTTCGCTGCATGGTAAAGGGAAAGATGCCATCTCAGCCATGTCACCTTGGAGCCAGACCAGAATCTACCCTCATTCAAGCCTCAGCAGAGCCCTGAGAGAGGGGACCCTTCTCCAGAGCTAGAAAGGCCGCTTCTTCCACTTCTGGGACACCTTTCTTTTTGCTCTTAGTGCAACTCTGAATGTTTGGAAGGATGTCTGCTTTCTCCCTAGCCTGAGGCCTCATCCCCAAACTATAGGCTGTTCGCATCTCCCTCATTTTCAAGGCTTTGGCTGGAAATTTGGCTCCTTGCGGCTGATCCCAGCCAGTTCCGATGATATTTTACAGTGCCTTCCTAATTTACTGCCTTTTTATGACTATAGTAAAAGGCCACACATCAGGGAACACCATCAAACAGGAAGAAACAGCCCCTCTTCTCGTCAGCTCAAGTTGGATATTGTAATTTACATGAAAACCTTGTGGCTTTGGGTGTTTACCTCCCATGGAACCAGCTTCTTCTCCCATTATGAGAATGAGATAATTAAAATACTTCCCTGTTCCTTTGATATTGAATTAAGTTAGCTCAGCCCAGTTGCAAATGCCAGTCTGAAAGCTCTCACATTATTTGGGTTGAAATTTAGGACCATCCTTTTTTTTTTTCAGGAAAAACATTTTTTTTAAATTTTATTTTCACCTAATCCTGATTTAGGCACAGGGAAAAGAAATGAGAGATTTATTCAAATTGGATCAGGAAATTTGAATCCCAAATAGATGTTTTAGGGAGGCTGGGCCAGGGAGGCATTGAGGCTGTCCTGATCCCCCCAAGGCAGCCATCCCAGCTTGCCCAACATTAGCCAGGGAAACCACGAAGAGGTGACTCCGAGGTCCCTGTCCTCTCCATCTGCCTTCTACCATGGCTACTTGACCACACCGTGGTGAAAGATTGCTGCCCCTGGGGAGAAACCCCAGCTCAGACAGGTCTCAGCATCATACAACTCAGAGAACTGTGAGCTGCAGAGTTATTGGATGTGGAGGCTCAGCCTTGAGCCCAAGGACCCAGGTTCTTTCTGCCTTTTTGCTCTGCCACCTTCTCGGTGGCTTCGTGCTCCTTCTGGGAGCAAGGCGGCTACACCCAATCCAGGTTCATGATATACATGTCGGCCTCACAGTGAAGAAGGAATGGGGTCTTCTGCACCTCTGCCCATGGGAGAAACCTCTCCTGGAGAGCCTCACGTTTCTCGCACTTCCTGCACCAGGACCAGCCACACACCCACTCTTGAGCAATGTGAGAACACTCGGCCCTGAGGCTCGCAGGTACGCAGGGAGGATTGCAGCTTGATGTGGAGTAACTACGGAAAAAACAGTGCAACAGCATCTACCACAATACTATGGAATGTGCTTACTGAATGTTGAACATGTCAATTGTAGGAAACCAACAGTAACCAGATAGATATCTATCTTCCAAATAGACCAGAGCCAGACCCATCCCTTCATGTTCCTTCTTAGGACAGTCTTACTCTTCCTCATCCCTTTTGAGGTCTTGAAAGTTGAACAACATGGCAACAGGAGAGTGAGCAAGATCTAGAGCCATTTTACAGCCTTTGTAATTTTACAGCCTTTGTAATTCTCAAACAGGGGTGATTTTACTCTCCAAAGATCATTTGACAATTTCTGGAGATATTTTTTCTTGTTCACATTGAAGAGTGCTACTGGGATTTAGTAGTAGAGGCTAGGGATGCCGTTAAACATCCTCCTATGCATAGGACCACCCTCTACAACAAAGACTTACCCAGCCTCAAATCTCCATAATTATGAAATTAAGAAACTTTGTTTGAGGTTGGCTTACATCCAGGATTTTCCCATGATGCTTTGCTCCTGGGGAAGAGATGGAGGAGGGTAGCTTTCCAACTAGATGTGCCTGGAAGCTGGGGAACATAGTCAGTCCTCGCCCCACCTTGCCTTCTCTCCCAGGAGCTTTCCTTTACTTCTGGCAAGTAGGTTCAGATATGTAGAAACAGAGAGATAGAGCTCCCTGGAGATCATCAGAATTAGGAGAGCAGGGCCGTGTTCGGCCATCCCTGTACCTGCACCAGCTGTCTTGGAGCAGGCATCCCATATGTGAGGCACTGGAGGCAGAGAGGAGATGGGGGCAGGAGGAAGAGGTTGTGGGAAAGGTTAGTTGGAGGCCAGGCTCTCTGGCAAACCTTGGCTACGACTGAAATCAGTTGATTTTTAGCTGGGGAGCAAAACCAATTCAGGAACCGGGCCCTAGGAAAAGGGGGACAAAGATTTAGCAAGGGAGGGCTCCCTTCCAGCCAGAGGGGGGCTGTCACATGGAGAGGGGCTCTGGAGGGCCCCCGCTGTGGGCACCAGGAGCCCTGCAGCCTCTGTGTCACAGCGACAGACCACAGCCGGTTCTTTATCTCTTCCCTGGCACCTGTCAGCCTCAGCACCATTTTCACCAGGGGCTGCAGTCTCAGATGCCAGGAATTTTCCGTTGGCTCCAGAGATGTTTGCTAAGCCTGATGCCAGCCCAGAGAGGTGGCAGGGGAGGCCAAGCTCCATGCTTCAGCGCCGATGTCTGATATTAAAATTGCTGGGAGCCCTGGTGAACTTGTCCTGGCGGCGATGCTCACAGACACTCCCCTCAAAGTTAATAAGAAACTAAGAAATTAATTTCCTGTCAGGTGCCTCTGCCCGCAGTGACAGCTCGACACCCTCCATCGGCAGATGTGCATTTAAATAACGAGGACAGTGGGGGACGGGACACTCCAAAGGGGGCGACCCTTCTGGAAGTTTATGGGATGGGGGATGGGAAGGTGTGCGTGCTCCCAGCAAGGATGCCCAGCAACGGTTGACCCAGCGACCATGCTTCTGCGAAGGTCACTTTGATTGTCACCTGGCCGTGGTCAGTTGCAAAATCCCAGGCACCAGCTCAGCTCTGCCACATCTTGGGTCCCTTGTCCCTCCAGAGAGAAGATGACAGGACAGAGCCAAGTGTCTTCTCTGGGTGACCTCGTGTGACATTGTGGTCCCAGCCAACCCTTGGTTTTATAGAAACAGCTATCAAATGGGGGATTACTAACTTCTAAAGACAACGCACAAAAAAAGATACAAGAAAACCAAACTTGCTCTTTCTCTTGTGACCTCAGAGGTGCTGGGGAGTTAGCGAGGGGGGATCCTCAATTTGTTAATCAATGTCGGAGAACTACAACTAGCTGGGAATTGTGTGTGAGCGGCTAAAGCAATCCTGTCGCTAGACATGATAACGCCCTTGGGCTGTGCTGGGAGCCGAGACACACTAAGTAACCTGCCGAAGATCACACCGCATTTAAAGTGGCCCAGGTGAGGTCTGAGCCGACATTTGTCTCCACCTCCAAGGTCTTTCCATCATTGCCCACAGGCAAGATACCCGACTGGTGTAGTTTTTCTTGTTTTAATTCTAAAATGGGTCTCTGCTGCTGCCAACGGCTGGCTTCATCATAACCCAACCCTCATTCCTTCATTCAACAACCAACCAACCACACAGATCATTCTGCAGAGCAATCCTTCAACCAGGGAGACTCGGACGACCTCCTCCCTGGTGCGTGAATCATGTGTTTCATCTTGGGCTGCGTCTTGGCTGCAGTATTAGCCTTTCCCGGAGATTGGATCTCAACACGCAGAAGTTTTTCTTCCAAGGAGAGATTGAATCTTAAGTTCAATGTGGAGGCTCATTCAACATTAAGTGTTCCTGGGCCATTTCCCTTATTCAACAAATATTTGCCCAGGCCGACTCTGGGCCTGGTGCCAGGCCTGAAGCTGGGCCAGCAAGACAGACAATGCAGAGTTGCCATCATGGAATGTGGCCCTTACCCTAGTCCCTGGTGCCAGGCCAACTGCTTCCTTCCTACCTGGCATGGTTGTTTCCCTGAATGCTCGCTGTGGGCCTGGATCTGGCCCATGATCTGTGTCCCGGCTCCTTGGGCCTGGGTCCTTTCCTCTCACTCTCTGCACTGTTTCTTATCACTACCGTTTCATACCGGGCTCGAGGTCCCCTCCCTAGAAGCTTCCCCAAGCTTCCTGGGGAAGCTGTGTTCCCACCCTCACCCTCTGTCTCCACCACATGGTCTTTGTATGCTCCAGGACCTCATCCTATCCAGAAGCACCTGCAGAGCAGATGAATATTTATTATTTGTCTCTTCATGGGCACACACCTAGTCTTGCTCACAGACCCTGCAGCATGGCTGGTTCCTGGCACGTGGCTCTTGAGAGAAATGAATGAGTGAGTGAATAAATCAGTGGGTGAGTGTGGGGCCCGGGAAGTCAGCAGAGGGGGAAACTGTTCCTCCAAGCAGCTGAGAATCCCAGCCCAGGGCATCCCAGTGAGCTCTCAAGCTGGCTGAAGGGAAACCCGCCTCGGGAATGTCCCAGCACCGTGTCCTTCTCACAACAGCAGGGGAAGCGCGAAGGGGCAGCTGGAGAGGCTCCCGACACCTCAGTCTAAACTGGTGCCTTTCAACTGAGCTTTCAGCAGCCCCTCTCCTAAAGCTTTCTCTAAAAGAGCTGCTGGCTCGGTTTACCTACAACCACCAGATTAATTGCCATCCCTGGGTAGCTAACGTCTCCTACGGCTCCATGGTAACCACGATTTGCAAATGCCAGCAAGTGTTTTCTCAAAGGGACTCTACCCCCGACACAAAATAGAACATTTTGAGTGAAATTTAAACACAGTTTTTGAACGGCACTGTTCAGATTTCTTCACACTTCACAAATGCTTTCTTTGCAAACATGGGTGTCCCAGATACCCTGGGCCAGTGCCAAGGCCCTCAGCCCAGCGTCTGTTTTCTCAGCTTCAAGGCAGCCACGGTGAGATTTAAAAACAAACAGGGGGAGAGAGCTGTGGGTCTCCCAGCCAAGTCTGTGCATGTGTGTGTGTGTGTGTGTGCGTGCACACGAGCTTGTGCACAAGCGTGCACAGAGATGAGGACCGTGTTTTATCTCCTGCACCAGTGATGATCAGTTGATGATGGCAACTCAGATCTCTGCTGTGAGATCCCTGGGACCCCAGCAGAGGTTGGTGGGAAAGAGCGCTATCTGCAGTGGTGTGGTGCGGAGTTCCGCGGGGCCAGGATGGGAGTGGAGATTTGTGGGTGAGAAGTTGGAGTGGATCATCCTGGGGTGCCCCTGCTCCCAGAGAGTGCAGAGCAGAAATGAGCTTCAAGTGAAGGCTCGAGAACCCGCACTTGCAGAAATACCCAGAAGCCCTTGCAGCAGCATCTGCTCAGCCTCAAGACAGTGGGAGAGAGGAGGGGAGCTGGCAGAGGTGGGATGGATGGCAGGGGTCCGGGCTCCCAATTGGCAGCTGCCCTTGCCTCCTCCAAAGGCAATGCCCAGCTCCAGCCCAGTGACAAGTCCAAGCTGTTCATCCCAGTCACCACCACACCAAGGGCAGATGTGACGGACCAGCCATCAGTTTAGCTGGGTGCCCTGGCCCCTGGCGGATGGGTTCCTTCTCAGGGAGCCTGGGGAGGAGGGGGTTGCGGATCCAGCCCAGGTATGGGAGAGAAGAGGCGAAGCCAGGACTGCTGCGGGCTCCCTTTGGCTGGAAGATGAGGGGACGGAGGGCAGTGTGGTGTAGGAACTTGGGCTTCACAAGGAGGAGGCACCTGGGGGCATCCGTACCTTGGGTACAGAGAGGGTAGAGCAGGCTGGCCGGTCCCAGTGTCCAAGCTGAGGGTGTGAGAAGTGGCGATGCAGACAGAGGCCTCGTGGACTGGGCAGTCATGGGAGCCCCGGGGGTCAGCAGTGAGCTGTGTTCACAGGAAACAAGGAACCACGGGAGGCCAGGAGAGCTGGGACTTGGAGGCCCGGCGACCTTGGCTCACAGCAAGGAGCCCGTCAGGAGGCCGGCGCAGGCCCGGGGCAAGGCGGTGAGCGCCGGATCAGGGCAGTGGCCTCGGGACAGAGAAAAAACACCTTCCTTCCCTGTGGCTCCTCTCTCCAGCTCTGCAGGAGGCAGCAGCGCCTTGGGTGCGGCAGGGGTGCCCTGCAGTCCTGTGCCTCGGGTGGCGGTGGTGGGTGGTGCCGATCGTCCTGGGCCTCGGTGTTGCCCCCACTGGTGGAAACTGGAAGAGGCCAGCTTTTTCCGCCGTCCCGCCTGCCACCTGAAGGAACAAATTGGCGAAGGCATTGGCCAAGCAGGACGCAGACGCCAGCAATCTCCTGAGCACTGCTGGGAGAGGGGACCCTGGGAGGCAGTGCCAGGATTTGGGGGTGCACTGTGCTGTCTGCAGTGGGCTGGCTGCAGCCAGAGGATTCGGAGGCGGAGATGAAGACGGGGTCTTGATTCACGGTGGTGTTTGGGATGTCACCCGCTGCGTGGGCAGAGCTGGCGTTTCCTGCGGGACGCCGGCTTCTCCTGTTTCACTAGTGCCGCGGGTGCCGTTATTACCCAAGGAGGCTTACAGGTTATCAGCAAGCTCCAGGAGACACTGGAGAAAGGAAGAAGATAAAGAGGGACTTAAAAAGAAAATAACAAAAAAAGAAAAACTGTATTTTCTAATCCAAACCTTGCCCTGCAGTGCCTTCGTTAACCCCCAGTCACTCTTTCAAGACATAAACTATTGAGGGCCACAATTACTTCAGTGATTACACTTTATCGTGTCCTACCAAGGTATTAAAGAGGAACTGGGGAACACATTAAAAAAACATACAGCCCAATTTAATCATGATTCCCTCTAAAACAATTGCTGGAATCTCACCGTTACAGTTGCCAGAGCATAAAAATCCTATAGCTATTCCACGGGCTGGGGTGATTCATCCTCTGCTGCCTCTGCAGCCAGCCCTGTCAGTCAAGGAGAGACTTGGGGTTTGTGTCTTACTGGGATTTAATGGAGGAGCTCCCCAGCTGCTCCCCAAGAACAGGGTGAGGTGGCCCAGGTCCCAGGCTCCCAGGCTTCCTGGCTGGAAACACCTGGCCTTCATCACTCCCAGCTGGAAGATTAGACCAGAAAGAAGCTCCAAAGCACTAAGCTCAGGCCCCTCGCCAGCCCACCAGACATCTCGCACCGAGGGCCTGCTCACACTCCAGGTGGGGAAGGAGGACTCTGGCCAGGAAGCTGGATGCTGAGCAAGGAAGCCAGCCGTGCTCTCCATGTCACTTCGGGCGCAGGCGTAGCCTGGTTGCAGTGCCAGGGGGTGTGGTCACTGCTCCTGGAGCTTCTGAACATCAGGAAGAGGGAAGGGAGAGCAGCCGAAGAGGAAGGTCAGGAAGGGCCCTGTCCTTGCTCTCTCCCTGTCCGCTGAATGCTGTGGGGCCGGTTGTAGCCTCTCTTGGCCCCGTTTTTCCACCTGGAAGTGGGAAGGGAGAAATGACTGAGTTTCTTCTTGGCTTTGTCATCTTCTCATTCAAGAAGAAGCAGAAAAGCCTAGGATGCCCCTCAACCCCCGCAGGGTCCTTGAGGGTGTTTCATGCTCAAGCTGGAATGTGCAAAGCATCCAGGAGAGGAGGTGAGCAATAATCCCAGGAAGAGGGCTGAGAGTGCTGGAATCCCCCAGGGCCTGAAGTTCCAGGAGGCCCACACCATCCGGATGAGGACGGAAATGATCCTGGTGGCCAAACACATGCCGTGTGTTCAGACGGCGTGGCAGGGCACGGGTGCTTTGGATTCACAGAGATGGGCAGTATTTGCTGAAGAAATGTAGCTTTGTTGTCTCCCAGTACCTGGGAGAGAGCAAGGATTGTCTCAGAGACCATGTTCATGCTTGCACAGGAGTGCCTGGGGCTCTGCTCCTCCAACTCCTCCAGAGCCCTCCAGAGGGCCTCTGGGGATAAAGGCTCTTCCTCCAAGCGAATTTCCTAACTTCACCTACATGAGCTCTGTCTATAAAAAAGACCTCTCCCAGGTAAGCGCTCTCTGGGCCACGTTGGTTCTGCTCCACGCGTGACTTCTACAGGATGCCAGGGACACGGTGCCAGTGTCATGAGATACAGGTGACAGTGGTGTCAGAGGTCAGTGATTCTATTGCCTACCCGTGTTGGAGGTTTACCGAGCATCATTTGGATTTCACCTCCCCAACAGCCTCAGAACGTAGGTCCTTTTATTCTCTCCACTTTATAGGTGAGGAAACTAAAGCACAGAGAAGTGATTGCCCAAAACCCACAAGTATAAGTAGCAGAACCAGACTCTGACCCTGCCAGTCACCCCAGGGCACCCTGCTTCTCAAACATCAGCTAGACCTGGCTTTATTTTTTTTTTGAGGGGGTGGGTGTTTCCAGTACCAGGAATCGAACTCATGACCTCCTACTTGCCAGGCAGGCGCTGTGCCACTGAGCTAAATCCCCAGCCCCTGGACCTGGCTTTAAAGGTGGGCTTTTGTAACACTTTACATTTCCAATTGCCTATGCACCTGATAGAGATAATCATAACCAGTGCCACCTGATGGGGATCAGATGAGCTAAGTCCTCTGACAAACTTAGCATCCATGCCTGGAACACAGAGGTCTAAAGAAATGGCGGTCCTCAGTAGCCACAGTAGCAGTGGTGGTAGTTGTTACCTGTCTCCTAGACAACCTGAGCCATATGGTGGCTGGAGTTCCTGGCTTAGCAATAGGAAGACATAGGATTGTTTTTTCAGTTAGGGCATTGGTGAATGCAACAGAAAGTTCAACCTGAGCTGATTCAGGGTAATAGGAAAGCTGGTTCAAAGGAGGTTCAAGTTACTAAGAAGGCTTGAGATGTCTGGTTTCAGGCATGGCTGGCTCCAGGGATCCACTGGATGCAGGAAGCATAGTTTCTCATCCCTTCAGCTCCAATTCCTCCCTGCCATCTCCCTTCTTGGGCTCCACCTGCTGGCCAGAGCTGGCTTCCAGGAGCACTAGGTTTCATGCTCCCAAATTCAGATCCAGCAGGAACAAGCACCCCACCATCCCTGCGGCTCCAGCCTAAATCCAGGGATTCCTGCTGATTGCCTCTGCTGGGCCACGCATCTGGTTCCGGGCCAGTCACCATGGCCCAGGGAACATCACCCTCTGGCGGGTTAGGCTGAGCCACATGCACCACAGCTGGACTGATTGGGGAGAGGTGATTGTTTCTCTAAAGAAAGTTTGAGCAATTTTATCAAAAGAATGCTAAATGCACTAGAGCCTTGTCGAGCTCTGCCTCCCATCTGCCACGTGGCCATGAGCAGATCATGCGGGGCCTCTCGGTGCAGTGGGGACAGTGGCACCAGCCCAGCTCCCGCCCCAGCCGTCACAGGGGGCAGAGGGACAGGAGGCTGCAGAACTCATCAGTCCTCCAGAGACACTGCTGTGACTGTTCAGTGCCATTGTCATCGGATGGGCCTGATTCACTGCCTAATGGGGCGCACCCCGCTGAATGGACACGCTGGCCCCAGAATAGGGCTGGGTGCAAATCCCCAGGAAGGACGGGGACATCAAGTATAATGGCAGACAGGGCTGCCTGGGGGCTGGGGAGAAGCCCGTGTCTTCTGCTGTGGCTTTGGCTCCCGAGAGGCGTGAGGGGGTCGGAGGAATAGGGACCACAGCCCTTCAGGACCTGACCACCGGCCTCTGTGCTGGTGACCAGGGCTGGCTGTGTACCTCAAGCAGGCTCTCTGCCTAGGGGGTTCTCTGTGTCCCTGCAAAAGGCCCACGGCTTCTTATCCCAGGGCCGGTTGGAATGACAATTGCAGTGATAAATATGGGTTCAAGGTTAAGGAGAGCGGGAAACACACAGAACACAAATCCAAAGCCCCATCCAAGCTCAGATCCCACCAACTAAGAGAGCACCAGCCACCCGCTTCCCGGGCTGGTCCCTGGCACACGGGAAACGGATTGACAGCACACACTGAACACCAGCGACTGGCCCAACCTAGACTCCTCCCTGCTGAGGTGTAGAGACCATGGCACCTCCTGGATCGGGGTCCCAGGGAGACCCGACCCCCAGTATCCTGATCCTCTTTTGTGACTCCTTATTGATCAACCATCCAGGAGAAAATGTCACCCATTTTTGTACACCTTGATATTGTCAATACAAGTCTCCCTTGATGTAATGTGGTGCATTAACCACCCCTTGTGCAGCTTATTAATGGTACCGTGACCTCCTGGGGCCCAGCGTAGACAGAGACCCTTCTTAGGATTGTGGGATGTGGGGGGAGACCACTACCTGTTCAGGACAGAAAGTCCAACTCTCCATTTCCCAGGCTGCCTGCGCCTCCCCTGACTTGGCACTGCAGGTTGAGATCTGTGACAAAGGCAGCGGTCCGGCTCGGTTCCCAGGTCCCACCCGGACCATGCCACCGCTCCAGCCTCAAGTGAACAACTTTGGCCGAGGGGCCGCTGTTAGCTGCAGGGTCCCCCGCTCAAGCCTCCTGGGCTCCCCGGGCAGTTGGTTTGTCTCTTGCCTCCCCGCTGCTTTGCCGTTCACTCTCCAGAGCCCACCCGTCACTCCTCTGCCCACCAAAATGACCTCACAGAATTCATGCATGCCAATAAAAGTTCAGTGTCTTTTGCAAACGCAGAGATGTAATTGGACAGGCTTCCCTCAGATCATTCATAACGATTTTAAATAAGCCAAGGTCTGGCCCTGAGCCAGTGGGCATCTCGGGTTTCCAAGTGTCCGTCAAGAAACGTGCCGTGTGTCTTCCCCCGATACACGCTGCTGGACAGTGAGAAACCTCCCCACGCATCCATCCACCACGGATGGAGCTGCAGGGAGCCTTCGGGTAGAACTTCCTTAAGGCTTCCATAAAGTCCGGCCCCTCTCTGTCCAGGGCTGGTGGCTTGTCACAGTGCCCCCAGCATTCTAAGGATGGGCCCAGGGCTGTGCCAGGCATGGTGCCCACATCTGTGCCTTTTCCCCAGCACCTTCAGACTGAAGGAGGCAGAGCGCGCCAGCCCTCCGCCGGCGTGGGGCCCAGAACCCTGCACCAGGTGGAAATTGTTTAACTAGATTCCCATGACTGGAAAATTCTGGTAATTGTGTAATAACAACAGCAGCAGCACTCAGCAATTACCCAGGGTTTTTCATCTTCAGACCACTTTACCCACATTAACTAATTAAGTCTCCCAGCCTCCCTCCGGAGAGGGGAAGGGCAGCTGGCCCAGATTCCCACAAGCGTGGGTGCTCCCTTAAGAGGGTGGCCCTTCCGCAGGCCCAGAGGTCCCTTGGCAGCAGACCACTGCCCACGCACGGGCCTCCTGCCGGGCATCACTCGGAGGTCCTGCTGTGCACTGGCTAGGAAGCCGGGGGCGTCCTGCGCGCCTCCACCTGCACTGGCCCGGCCCAGCACACCATGCAGGCCCTGGCTTGCAGCAAGGACAAGGTGGCCACTACTCCTGGGGACACGGGCCTCTGTTTTGGTTCTAACCTCTCCCTTCTCTCTCTTTCTGGTTGTTCTTTAAGGCCCCCACTTTGAGGTCCTGGGTCTGGCTCCCAGGTGCTTAGCTGCCAGTCACATTACTGGCCAGGAGGGGTTCCTGGTTGACACCAAGGACCCCTGTTGTGGAGACAGATAGAACTGTGGCTTCCTGGGAAGTGAAGGAGGCTCCCAGCCCATCCCTGTCCTCACTGGTACCCGAACCCTGCAGAACCTACTCCTGGTCCCTCCACCCGGCCTCGCTCCTGGACTACGCTGACTGGGTTGGGTGCACCACCTTCTTACCCAGTGTCCCCAGAGTCCCAAGGAACCCCCAGGCCAGGACAGTGTGGGGGTGAGGGAGGGATTCGATGGGATACGCAGGGCCTAGAAACCCCCTGCCAAAGGCTTCTGACCAGCCTCCTTTCTAGTGGGACCCAGCGCAGAGAGGACAGGTGGCAGGCTATCCTGGGCAGCTGGCGCACGGGCAGAAAGATCTTCTTCCTCCTTGCGGCCTGGTGACACCCACATCCCTGAGCTGCCTGCCCTCATCATTTATTCATTCCCTAATAAATCTGGCCCTTCTTTCTGCCGGCTTCGCATGCCTGTTTTACGAGCTTCTACCCTCATTGTTTATTAAGAACCCAGGTACAGGCAAGGCTGTGCCTCTCAAGATGGGGTTCGCTGGGCGCCCCAAATCTGCATAAATGGCCCTAACACGGCAAATGCAACCATGGGAACAGCTCACGGCGTGAACCGCGCTCCTGTCCCTCCCCCGGTGGCACGCAGGCCCGCTCCGCCCCCGCGCCCCCAGCGGCAAGTGGGGAGGTGTGTGGCACGGTTACATGCTATGATGACTTTCTGGGTAACGTACACATTTTCACTATCACGCGGCCCTCTCCTTCATTTTTCATGAGAACTGGCACGAGATGGATGGCGGGGCCGCGGCAGAAACGGAGCGCCATGCCACTCTGATTTATCGACCACTTAGCGCTGATGAAGCTGGAAACAAGAGTCAAACAGATGTTGCAGCTGCATTTTTCTTTATCAAAACCAGCAGCTTTTTGCATTTTTAACCACTTCGTGCATTACTGTCCTGCTTGCTCCACAGAAAGGGTGCAGCGCCTGGCCTCCTCCTCCTTCCGGCTGGAGCCCGGGAGCGGGGACGCCCACGGGACTCCAGTTGCATCCAGGCACCCCTCACCCAGCCACCCCTCACCCAGCCAGGAGTGGCCA